CCCCCCCCCCCACACACACACACACACACTCTGTAATGGAGACAGTCAGAAAGAATAATGTTTTGGCCGCAAGAAAGAGGCTCAGGATGCAATTAGGACATTTAAATCTGCACAACCCTATAATGTCCAGGCATAAACAGGTGTCTGAATGTGTTAGATGAGGTCAGAGGTTTGCAGCGATGCCTTTGCTTGCTTGGTGAGACTTTGAAGGCAGAAACCACTGGTGTTTTCCAGGCAGCTGGAACTGCATCCTGGAATTGGGCATTAGCAGTGGGTTTGCTAGTCCCTGTGATGCTTGCTCCTGATAAACAGAAATTCTTGGAAAAACCCTCTCATGCTTGGAGGTCATGCGGGCGGGACGGATCGGTGATCCGGGGGGCTGTGCTGCTGTGTCCGTGCTGGATTTCTCTGGGCCTGGTAATGCTTCGTGCTGCGAGTTAAACAGTAATCGGGGACCACGGTCATGCGGCTGTTGCTCCAGCTCCCTCTGGCTTTGGAGCGGCTCCGGCCGCTCCCGTCCTCTCCCCATCCTCACACCACACGTGCAGAGACCCATCCTTGGTGCCCTTCTGGTCCCCAGTTTTGGAGGTCTGGGTCTTGCTGATGTGGGGATTGATGCAGCATCTCCTCCTGCTGTGTGTTATGTCCCCTGGGGAGGGGATGTTTTAAATGCCCAGTGGTGCTGCTGGCACCCAAGTGATGCTGCTGGTGCCCGAGCGGTGCTGCTGGTGCCCACGAGCGAGGTGTGCCAGGGGAGAGCTGCCCGTGCTCCATGTAAAGCTGTGGATGGCAGGAACTGGGCTGAGACCAGCAAGCCTAGGTCTGCTTGCTGTGCTCCACAGCCCAGCCTGGATTTAATTAATGAAAGTCCTTGTGATGACCTTGGCATCTCTCCTTTACCATCCCGTGCCCTCTGCTTAGGCGTTTCTTTTAAAAACAGCCTTGGGGAGACCTAAAATAAGTAGGCGCTGCTTTGACTTCTACCTTCCAGTACTGAGGGGAGTCTAGAGGAGGTGGTTCCCACCTCAGTGTTCCTTCCATCCCTTTGGTTTTAGAGCATTTCCATGGAGGGAGGTCTCCATCCGTGTCCAGGATAGCGCGCGGGAGCTTTAGCCGGCTGGCGAGGGCGGAGGACGCCGGTGAGCAGGCCTGGCAGCTGCTGGTGGGTAGAGAAGCCCACGCAGCCTGTGTTTTTGCTGGCTGTGTCACATGTGCTGCAAAGACACACGATGTTACAGAATCGATCCCTCTGAGCTATTTCTCTATGGATCGCTGTGCACGTGCTATGGGTCTCTCCTCAAGTTTCAGTTCTGGTGCTCCCCATGCTTTGCTTCTCGGATGGACAAGTTAAGGCAGGGGTTTGTCTGGGGACACCCCAAAGCAGCTCCAGGCCCCATTGGAGCGGCCCCTTTCAGAATCCCCCTTATCTCCGGGCAGGGGTTTGGGGGAGAAGCGAGCGGGAGATGATGTTTATTCTATCTGCTGAACGTCCTCTCTCCTTTGAAGGCTTCCCAAATGTAGGCCGCTTATCCCTTTGTACTTGTGCATTCGTGTTCATGTACTTCTCAGGATCAAGCTTCATTATTTCATTTTAAAAATGGATTTTGGAACAAATGCTATTTCCGCCTACGTTTCCCCTAAGATGCTCTTGGCTCTTTGGATAGTTATGATCTCATTCCATTCCTGTTACTTACCTTCTTACTGGCATAAGTGGCGCCTGGAAAGTTTAATTCCCAGGATGCAGATTTTGCTCAGTCTTGGCCCCCTCTAGCAGCGACATTAATAGGCACTAAGTGCCCTGTGCTGTGCACTTAATGGGCCCAGCCAGGCCCTGCCACGCTGCACGGAGGTATAGGCTGTAATTACCTCTAGCAGGGGCTGCAGGACCTGTTTTTATTCTTAACACCCCAGGAAAACTGAATCACTAGATTTCTTAAAGTGGTGCTGATTCACACTCTGGTCTAAGAACTGACATTTCTTCAAACTCTCCTTTGTTTAGCTTTATTTTTGCATTTATTGTTTGCTTCCTTTTTGGCATTTGTTGTTACTTTTATGTCATTCCTCGAGGCTCTGCTCTGCTTTTAACATCCACACGCAGCAACCCACAGTGCAGGAAATCATGGTTGCTGCGTGTGGATGTTAGAAGAGGGGGTCCTGGGAGCCCGTAGTGTCCTGCCAGCAGCAGGGGTTTGTTACTGCCAGGTACTCGCAGGACACGCCGGGTATTTGCAGTGTGTCCCGTGCCGTGTTGGGCTGCACGCTGGCCGTAACAGTGATGGGGAAAGCGAGCATAAAGCATGAGGTTCATGCACAGGCTCTCAGATACAGCTTTTACTTGCATACCTCTAGGGTATGGGTTTGTTTTGTTTTGTTTTTGGAGGGATTTAAGCATGATATTTGGAGACGGGATAAGGTTTGGATGCAAAGATTGACTTGGAGGTGTGAGACTGGGAAGGAGGCGGATGAGCAGCGTGTCTGTAGCACAGATGCCTTCCATAAGGCATAACTGTGTGAACAGGTTACAGTGGGATAATTTGGGGGAGAAACTTGCAGCACATGGTGTGCAACTGCTGATGTGTACGTTTGATTTCCTCCACAGGTTTGAGGTAGTTCCTAAGGAGGAAGGGTGGCATTACATTGCATTTATTGCAGGAACTACCACCAAGCTGCCCAATTTAGCTGTGGTGACTCTCTCATCTGTATGTGCAAGAGGAGAGCTTGTAGTGGGATAGATGGGCTAAATGCAGTCAGACCTTTGCTTTAACTTGGTCAGAGTAGTATTTAGCTGCCTTCCTCAGAATCAGCTTGTTGGGTTTATTGAGTTCCCTGCTGTCTCTAAATGTAGGAGGTATTTTTGGGGTGATATTAAGAGGCTTCCAAGAATCTTGACCATTGCCCTTAGTCACAGGAGGAGGACAGTGTCTTGGTGAGATATTTATGTGCTGATGCTTGGGGAGCAAGGGCCTGAAAAGAGACCTTTCAAAGCAAACTCTAACTGTGCTTTTGCAATGAGTTGCAGGAGACATGTCCGAAAGCAAAGCCAAGAAGATTGAAATAAAAGATGTCGATGGGCAGACGCTGAGGAAGCTGATTGATTACATCTACACAGCTGAGATAGAGGTCACAGAAGAGAATGTGCAGGTAAGCTGGGTTCGACCTCTTCCTTGGGAAGTGAAGTAAAACACTGGCAACTCAAAGGTCCAGGGTACTTTGAGGGCGAGTGATCTCTTGAGGCTGTAGAAGGCAAAAGGTTGAGCTTGAAAAGAGCTGCTTCCACTCTCTGCTTAGTCTTGAGGCACTTTGCTGCTTTCTGTTCACTTAAGTCATGTTGCATTTAGCTTTCACATCATGCTCTTATAATGAGGTTAGGCATTTGCCTTCCGAGGAGCTGTGATGACTTGTGGGTCAGTCTGTCGAAGGTCAAAATACACTCAAACAAGCAGCAAGTCAAATAGCTGTTTTAAGGTCACAGCGGAAGAATTTAGCTGTTAGTTTTTAAATTCTTCTGGGTAGTATGAATTGTTTGGCAGAGCTTAGAGTAGAGTATATTGTTAAAATGAAAGCATTTTTTTTGTATGTGCATGCTGTGCCTGAAAGATCTTTGAGGTGAATATTTGTTTGGAAGTAGAAGGAGTATTTGAAAGGGAATCTATGGATAAAGCAGGATGCTCAGGAGCAGTTGCCTGTGTTGCTAGACTCTGACCGTGTATAAGCTGTCAAGGGTTTTTCTTTGACAGTATTTTCTGTAAGAAAGAAGCCACACACTCGCTGGACCTTGAGGAGGGTGCTGGGTGCTTGTGTGCAGGCAGGCTGTTCACTTGCTCCCTGTTTTTGTCTGCAGTTTGTTGCCTTCCTCTTTGAGCTGGATATTGGACAGGCTGACAATGATCTTCACTGCTTCACCCCTTTGCTGCTTGGATGGGGAGGACACCCTGGCCTTGTTCTTACACAGGAGTTCCCCTGGGCTGGCTCTCCAGTGTGTAGCCCTTTGGTTACCTTTAACTATGGTCCATATGCAAGCTCATAAGGAGCTGGGAACACTGCCTTGCTCCCGTAATTCCTAGAAGCACACCAGGGTGGAGTTCCTTGACCCTTTAGGATGTTCCATTGAGGAAAGAAAAATGCCCCTTGTCACACTGTCAGGCTGCTTTTCCTTCCTATAGGGAACACGAAGGCTCTATCTATGTGTTGTGTGGAACGTATGCTTTCCTTCTCCCCTACTGGTTCCTAGCTGGCTTAGAAGCACCCACTCGACATGTGGGAAGCGTGGAGCTTGGGATACCATCTGCTGTTCTGGATCCCGTTGATCTACGCTGAATGAAACTTCTTTTCAGTCACTAGGCATGGCCCTGCTTCTTCCCTGCGTGAGCATTTCAGCGCTCAGCGCTGGCTGCTCCTGCATATAAACAGCTCAGGAAGCTGGGTCTGATGGCCTAGGGCTTGCAGAGAGCTGAAGGAAGGAGCCCTGTCCTCATATTCGGTCTCCCATCTCACTGGCAGTCTCGTCAAAAATAGGAGTCTGCTGAATACTGAGGTTTGGGAATGGAGTTTTTTCCTAATCTAATAAAGGAGGCCTTTTCTCTGCATGATTAATTTAAATAACCGCTCTGTGAATAACTCTTTGGGATAGAGGTGAGATAATTCATGAGAGCTAAGAAATGAAGCTGGTCTAAAACGAGATTAAGTGACGACTTTAGGTTTTACTGTGCGTTTAAAAATATCCATGGTGAAAGTGTTTTGTGGAATTAAATCTAACTGGGTGAAGAAATCAATCAATAGAAGGTTTGAAGAGAAGTCTCCATCCTGTCTACAGATATTTTTGGCAATGACCAAAGCAGAATAAAGAGGTTAATATCTGCTGTAGGATGTTTTGTTTCACTACAGAAAGAGTTGACAGAAAAAGATTTATGATTCCAAGGAGCCTGGTTTTTAGAGAGAGATTTCAAGGTTCAGGAATGATGGAAAGTTGAGAGGCTCTGTACTGAAAGGCGTTTGCCTCTGTTTGGTTTTTCAGCTTGTTTGGAAGGCGTGGAACAGGGCAAGGATTTCTAGTTTTGGGGCAGTCATGAACTAGCGTGAAGAAAACCCATTTGGGCATGGCCATCCCTGCTGTCTTCTGCTTTTCCTCTCTGACCCACATACTGGGGTAGCTGTAAAGACATCTGCTTCTTTCACATGACAGAAAGGTCTAAGTTGAAGATGGAGTTGGATAAATGCATTAAGAAGAAAATTTTACCATACAGTTTCTGTAGAAGTGAAAAGAAATGAACAACTTGGAGATGCCTATGTGCAGCTCTGGTTGGCTTCAGTGGAAACCATATGCTTACAGCCTGGTACCGTGTGTCTCTATGTAAAAGCTGTCTGTTTTAACATACCCGCTCATTGGATTTTTCACTTGAGTTCTGTTTTTAAAGCTGCAAGGGTGGCATTGCTGCTTGCTTTTCACCTCTCACGTCAAAGCTGCCCGCCCAGCACAGGGTGATGGGAGCGAAATCCAGCAATGCAGAAGGGGCTTGACGTGACTTTCCAGAGCAGAGCTGAAGCGCAGCCCGAGCGGGGCATTCAGGTGCCACCAGCTTCTCTGCAGAGCTGCTTGACCTTGTGGAGCGTTGACCTGGACACGGTGAAGGACCCAAAGCTGTTATGCTGTGGCTGATGTTTAGTGAGCAGGCAGAGTTCACCAAGAGCACGCTGGAAAATTATTTGGCCAGGTCTTTGAAGGTTGGAGGTGTTGATGCTTCTGTGTTTCTGAAGCGGATGAGTGGCTGGCTGCTTTTGCTGGCTCTTTGTGTCCTTGTCATGTGGTTCCCTGGGTGTTTGGCAGAAGATGCATTGCAGTGAATAGGAGCACAAGATCTCTTGTGTCAGCAACGCTGAGGCACAACAGGCTGATGTTGAACTGCTGGTGGGATGTAGTCTGAGAGCGTCTGTCGTTCAGGGGGGTGGATTTTACTTAGGCTGTAAAAATGAGGTTTTTCATCCATGAACAGCTATGATGGACAAAAACAGAGAAAAATAGTGACAGAATTCAACAGCTATTACTGAAAAATGGGTTGGGACTGAGTGACCCAGGAATGGAAGCAGTTGTATGTGCAGGGTTCCTCTGCAGGGACAAGTTGTTCTCCTGGGCCTCTGCTAAGCGTTTTGCTTTTGTGAAGCCTGTTAGTGAAGGCAGGAGGGCAAGGAGATGTGGAAACGATTCCTTTGGGTTCCCATTTTAAACCAAACCCATCGAGAAACCAGGCAGCCCTGCGTGGAGAATGTTGTATCTCCTGCCTGTCTCTGGACACGAGCTTCTTGGGGCCTTTATTTCAGAAAAGAAATGGTGCTGAAACCTGTGGTTTGTGTGATGGGGCTGGTGGTGCCGATGAGCCAGGAGAGGTGCGGGGAGGCCTCTCATCCTCCTCAGAGCTCTGGTGGAGACCCCAGACCTCTCACTATACATGGTGGATGTGGTCCCTGTTCCCTGTGGTCCCTGTTCCCTGTGGTCCCTGTTCCCTGTGGTCCCTGTTCCCTGTGGTCCCGGCTGGTGGCACTGAGTTACCTGCAGGCAGCCTGAGCCTTGCAGTCCCAGATGAGAATGTCACTGCTGTCAGGGTTGTAACGACTCTCTGGGAAAAGTCCTGATTAACCTAGTTTCACAATTAAACTCCTACTAATGAAGTGCAGGATCCCACGTGCCTCATGTGCCCTTGTAGCCATAGGCTGGTTCACGCAGAAAGAAAATGGAAAATGTGCTTCTCGGGGGGCTACATGTTGGAACTGTCATCTGTGCAGACATAATAATAACAAAACAATGTCTTAAGTGGGGCAGAAAGCTTAAAATCCATAGCTCTTCCTTTTCAGCAGCATCTCAGGTAACCCGGAGGACTTAAGACTTCAAAGCTGAGATGGGAGTGGGACAGATGCCCCTTTCATTTTTCCAAAATAAAGGGGTGATAAGTGGGACACTTAATCTCTTTCTCCCCTGGTCCTCTCCAAAAGCTGTAGCTACAGAGAGTAAAAGCCAAGGGCAAAGCACGGTTCAGCTCAGCTTTAGGAGCTAGAACAAATTGGGGCTATTTTCTTCCTTCTGTGAAAGATTCTTGTCTTGGATATATGGCTGGAGCAGTGTGAGCCCTCTAACAGCAGTCGTGCCTGCTGTTCTGTATTGCAGGAGTTGCAGCTGTGCTCGGGCAATGCAGCTGGAAAAGGTAGATTAAGGATGAGTAGGCAACAGTGATGGCAGCTCAGAGCCATCCCATTCCAAGCCTGTATTTAACCTGCCTTGCTGGCACGACATCCACGTGCTCCTCTGGTCACTGTTTCTCCAGGAAGCTCTGGAAAAGCATCTTGCTGTTTGTGTAGATATTGAACCCAGCTCTGGTTGCAGATGTGCTGCTTGGGCTTGCATCTAGATCCTGCTTGGCTTGCCAGTGTGAACGGATGGACCAAGCTGTCCAACCAGATAGTTGCAAGCTTGAGATAGTTTTATATACAGAGAGAGACATTATAGAGTCTGTTGACTGAGACCGACCACTTCTGGTTAAATAGATTGTTGTTATATTGTTATTATTGTTATAAATAGATTGTTGTTACTGTTTAGCACCATAAATGAGTTCTGTGTATAATTTATTTAGCAAAGAATTTGGGTTCAGTAAATAATTCTGTGATAGTTTCAAAGGTGATTAGATTTCGGTAAGGAGGTTGATTTAGTAGAGAAACCAGCAGACCTGTCTGTGCTTTCCTGTTGATTGGGATTCAAGGATAAAGAGCCAAATCCAGGCCCAAACGAAGTAACTTGCCTGGATATTAGTAGAGTTGTGCTTTGGTTCGGCTGCATAATTAGGCAGGGCATTTCCTCTTGTTGTTCCTGCAGGAAACGGAGCTCGTGCTAGCGGATATCCTCTGCTTGCTTTTCGCTCTCCCTGCTTGAAAACAAAGCGAGTGGCGAGATGTTCAGCTGGGAAATGAAAAAGAGAACATCCACTGATTTGTTGACAGGCTATTTATATTCTACTTTTAAAAGGGGTATAAGATGAAAATCCCCTTTTTTATCGATTATAGTGGAGTAAGACACCTTCTACTTTGACCTGTAGAGCAAGCTGAGACTACTCATGTCCAAGAGGCTGTACTGGGCAGCTGGCCAGTGATAGTGGTGAGAAGAGCCCATCTTAGGGACAATATCCCAAAATATTCGAGCCAGTCCATGTGCTTGCATCTGCCTGCGTGTCGCCCAGGAGGAAGCCTGGCCTCCTACATTGCCACAGAGGGTTGAGAAGGATCCAACTTCTTATTCAAGTCTTGATTTAATTAAAAGCAGGAACTAATCTCCTCCAGACATCAAGATGTTAGGGCCAACGTGGACTCATAGGTTAATTGATTTCTTTATTTTCTTGTTACCTATTGGGTAACAACAAAATCCACCTATTGGGGTGGATTTTGGAATGCACTGGTGGTGTAGGAAACACCTGGGGGAAAGTTGTGAGTTTGCGACAGTTCTATGATGGACAGGGGTGCCAGGGAGGTGGGCAAGAGAGCTTCATTTCCCCTTCCCTGCATGCCAAGTCGAGGGTGGTGGGCTCTGTTAACCTGTTTGTTTTGTTTAACAGCCGCTTGTTCCTTCAGTCACAAATAATTTTCCGGAAATCTGTGCTCAGATGGCGAGCGCAGATGCCTGGTTAGGACACATGTGAACCAGCCAGGGTTGTGGAGGAGCTGGAATAAGAAACGCCTGCAGTTGCTGTAAGATCACAGGAGAGGAAATCACTGATGTCATGAGCTGTAACATCCAGACTGACTTTATTTTTTACTTCCTGTTCTCAGTTGCTGACCTCAAAGGTGTTCTTTCCAGTAGATGCCACATTCCTCATGGGATTTTGTCTTGCTTTTTTACACTTTAATATTGTGGGTGCAAAGGAATCACTTCATTTACAGGTGCAGAGTTGACCCCATCTTTCCCGAGAGCCTTGCTGTAGCTAAAAACCTCCTGGAGATTGCTGAGAAATCCCTCTGTAAACATGGCATTTGACTCATAAACACAGGTCACAAACACGGCCCTGCCCATGAGCCAAAGAGAGTTTTGTTGGAAATGCTCTAGGCTTCAAGGTTGTGAGGATGATGAAGCATTGGGCTTGCTTCAGCTTTGAAGGTGGTAGGACACAAGTAAACACAGGAAAAAGACCTCTGTGCTTGGATCTACCTGGAGCAAAACCAGAAATTGGATGTGTCCAGAGTTGCTTCTGTCTTGTCCTCCCCTTATTTGCCTTGAGGTCTTTCAGGAGAGTAGACTTGAAGAAAAGAGCTCCACTGGATCCACGTGGTGAAGCTATTTCCATCTCTCAGGGCACAGAGCGGGAGCTTCCACATTTAGACAGTGCTAAAACTTTAATGCAGCTTATTACATCTCCCAGTGACGTGGCCCTGCGTAAAGAGGAATTGAACCTTGTTTAAGTTGGGAGTCCCACTTTCTCCATTGCTAACTCTCCTTTCTTGTCTCTTCAAGTTCTCCTTTCTTGTCTTCTCAGGTTTTGTTGCCAGCTGCCAGTCTCTTGCAGCTGATGGACGTTAGAAAAAACTGCTGTGACTTTCTTCAGTCCCAGCTGCATCCCACGAATTGCCTCGGCATCCGCGCCTTCGCGGATGTGCACGCGTGCACCGAGCTGCTGCAGCAGGCGAACGCCTACGCAGGTGAGCAAGGGCTCCTCTGTTTGGAGAGTGCAACCTGCTTGCACGTTGTGCTGGCTGATATGTTGAGCAAGATCTACATAACCTGGTGAAGCTCTTCAGTATTTGCTGGAAAGAACATGAAATGGATTACTTTATCAGACTGCAGACTTGTAACTTCTTTGTGATGGTGCAAATTGGTGGAATTGATTTTGATTGCAAGGAAAACCTTGGAGAGAAAAAGGATTCTTTGGCTGCCAGTCTACAAAATGTTTCACCAGGGTATTATTCTTAAGAAGCTTCTCGTGCTGGTGTGCTAGTGTCTTCTCCTTGTACACTGGCCCGTGACAGCAGGAAGATATGATGGTGAACTCTGGGAATAATTGGCAGTAGGCAAAATGAAATCTCAAGAGGAGCAGGAACCGTCGGCTAAAACAAATTGTTGTAAAATGTGAGCCTCTGATCAGTGTGTACTGATAGCTGCTAGCTCCATGGGTGGGTGTCCTCCTTAATGCCTCTGCAACACTTGCTTCCCTTGACAGTGCTTGTGCTTGACTGCAATAAGCAGGTTCAGGCAGCTGCTTTCTGCATCTCTGTTCTAAGGAATAAATGTAAAACTGCCCCAAATGGGGCCACGCTCTTCCCTACCCTTTCCAGCCTTCTCCAGAAAAGGAGCCCTTGTTATCTTCTTGGGAGAAGCTGATAAGTTTTTTTTCCTGCTCAGTTCTGTCTGTTTATATAGGCAAAAAATACACCTGCGGTCTCCTGGAGCCACCTGCTCTGTCCTGCAGTGTTTTTCTTGCTCCATTATTTTCTTTAACTGGACTGTAAGTAGGCTCTGTGGAATAAAACTAGGCCCACCAGGTCCTCCCCTCTGCTCCTGCAAATAAAAGTAAAACCTTTTCAGTTGCTCTGGCTGTATTACCCCCTGGAGGAAAAGGTACCCTGGAAGGAATGGTTAATTGTGTAAAGGCTTGCTCGCAATATCTCATTATCCTTGCTTCTAGGCCCTGTTTAATCTTTAACCCAACAAGCAGTGCATTCACTGTATATTTATTTGGTTGTTTGGCAATTAGAAGGTCTGCTTTGTTGTTTCTTTGGCCTTCGTGTGTCCCAGTTAGTACAATAGCCCATGTAATGTTAATGAAACGCCATTAATAAAAATGCCATTAAAATTCTTTTCACTATGTCGTTTATGTAACGAGCATTAAGCAGAGGCAGAAGTCCACAGACTTGAGAGTCTGTGAGTGTATGAGCTCAGTTTCTTGGGAAATGTTTAGCTCAGACGATGGGTAACTGCAGGAGGGAGAAGGGCCTTCCTGATGCAAGAAGGCCCAAGTTCTTACTCAAATCAGTAAATACTTTACTTGCTTCCAACAAATACGAAGAGCTCAAATATCTTTCTACTGCCAAAACGCCAATCTGGAATGAATAGGAGATTGTGTCCAGAAATGAGAGAACATACACATTCCTGTGTCAGCAGCATTTCCTTTTTCACAAATATTTAAGGCCAGTTCGTTAGAACTTGTGCACACTTGCTGGCCTAACACAGGTCATGCAGCCTTAGCCAGATAGTGTTATTTTTAGTCAAGAGTCTTGGCTTAGTTTTGGTGCCCAGGAAACTAAGTGGGGTCTGTAGCACAGGCGTCCCTGAGTGCTGGTGCCAGTAAGGAGTTGTTTAGGTGAGATCTCCGAGATGCTCTCTGGACATTGTGGCTTCTTGAACCTCTCTAGTGCTGCTTTTTGGCCAGCAAAACACCTTGCAAAGGTGAAAATAAGAGGTGGATTTTGCTGCAAGGGAACTCTTTGGTTATCTGAATGTGAACTTCTCAGAGCTAGGGGCACTAGGGCTTGGAAAAAGCAGCCTCAGATAAAGTGTCTGGGACTCAAGTTGAAGGTAAATGGGGCTCTGTAGGTAAGATTAAGAGGACACACATTTTTAACAAATGCTTGTGAAATTCTCTGCAACCAGTTGGTGGCCAGTTTGTCCTATAGATCATTTCCTAGCACCCTGTGGTAGCTGTAATGCAGAACAGATTGGACAATGCCTTTTGGATCCACACTGCCATGAGCCAAAACCTCCCAGTGTGCAGCTGTAACCAGCAGCACAAGCTGCTGTATTTGCTTCCTAAGCAGCTCCTAGAGCTGCTGCAGGAAGGGAACGTTCGGAGAAAAGAAGGGATGAGCAGAAATTTTTAAAGTCAGAGAGAGGCCAAGGGACCTAGGGATGTGGGAGGGAGAGGCTGAGAGCCTCAAGGAGGGCAAAGACGAAATGACCTACAATTCGAGAGCACATTGCCTTAAAACCAGCTCTGGGACTAGTTCATGTTCAGCGATTTTGGGGTCTGGCATGCAGTGTTTGCCTGGGTCTCTCTGAGCTTTTACAGTAATGGTCTCTGAGTGCTCTAGTCCTTCCATTGACCTCAAGCCTGGATTTCGTTATAAGTTTCTGTTCCACCTTTTTATTTGTTGAACAGAGCAGCACTTTCCCGAGGTGATGCTGGGAGAAGAATTTCTTAGCCTTAGTCTGGACCAGGTTTGCAGTTTAATATCAAGTGACAAGCTCACGGTCTCCTCTGAAGAAAAGGTACTGTAAATTGTGTAGCAGCAAATGTAAAGTATGTAAATGTAAGTGTGTTGGAATGTTTCTGAATCTTATTCTGGAAACTGTTCTTGTGCTCTGCTATTTAGGGGCCATTTTCCAACAGACCCTGCATGGAAAGGAAAAATAAAAATAATGAGAATCCTAACAGCACATACAAATGACCTTCACTTGGTTGTTCTTTATATGAAGTAATGATTCTCAGATCCATATCTTTGCCCCAAACCCTGAGGGGCAGAACTGAATTCCATCCTGGAAAGCCAGGAAACTTCCATTGGCATAAAACTCCTGTTACCTGCCTCAAAATCATTGAAAACTCAATTTCCCTTGGTTGAGGAGGAATTACTGCCTTGTGCTGCACCTTGGGACAGAATAACTAAAGGAAGTCCACCACCAGAAGGAAGGAAATGTTCTTCTAGTGTCATTGGTGCTTTTAATGAAAGAGGGTAAAAAGACATTGGTTGACGTTGTTCTGTGGGTTAAAATGTTCTCTGAGCTTAAAAATGAAAGAATGAGACACACAGGATGGCCCAGAGGTCATGGTGCTTGGTGAGCTGTAGGGCCCTTGCTTTGGCATGGGCCTTGTTGCATGACCTGCAACAGATTTGGGGAAAGAAAGGCTCTTCTGGAGGGTCCTTGAGCTCCTCAGCTCAAAGTCATCAATATGTGGAGATGGACCAGGGAGGGTCCTTCGGAGAGGCTGCAAGGTTATGTGGCTTGGGAGCTTAGGACCCCATTGAAGATATGCTGCCCCTCAGACCGAGCTCATCCTCAGCCCTGATGAGCTGCAGGTGCCAGTGCAAAAAAAAAAAACCCCGAAACCCCCAAACAGTGTAAATTTGTGGTGAAACAGCTTTGTGCGAGCCAAGCAGCTTTCAAGGGGAAATGTGAGTTTAGTAACCGATTTTTTCCAGCCTGGGCAGCATTGTCTGAGAGCTTTTCTTGGCCTGGTGCCTGGGGAAATCAAAGTGTTTGCTCCCTCGCTGCAGCTTCATGCAATGCAAGCCAGCGCGGCTGCGGCTGCTTTCAAGTTGAGCGTGTGGGTCTGTGAGAGGACGAGTAGTTTTTCCCTATACTTCCTTTTTGCTTCATATATAAGTGCGTACACTTGTATGTATCTGCACGCGATGGACAGGAATTTACTCCTAAACAATATGACGGAGCAAGTAAGCAAATACAGGGACCATCCAAGGGCTAAATTATGACGAGCAGAGTTTGTGAGATGCTTTCTGGTTCCTGCACTTACTGCGGCTCCTACATATAATGCAGCCAGTGACCCGGGGTAATTCCGTGTCTCAGAGCAGCTGGGAGTATCCGAGCCAAGTCCTAACAGGGCCAGAAGGAACAGACCCACTGAGGGAAGTATTGCTGCTATATATACATATAAAATATATAGCTTTAGCTTTTAGGTCAGGCACGTGTGCCCAAACAGAGGCTGTTTCTCCCTCGCCCACATTTGCTGCTGCTTCACCTTCCTTTAAGACTCATTCTCCATCTCCTTAACTATAGTAGGATGTGTCCCACGCTGGTGTCCTGCTCTGCAGCATTAGTGCCAAAAAGATGGATGAGGAGCATGTGTTATTGGCTGAACATTGCTTTTTCCCTCCTTCTGTGCTCATTTGCAATTGAAAATCTCAGACCTACGAATATTTTTTCCTATCTTTTTTTCCCCATTTGGGGCAGGGTGGGGGGAAATGTGAAGGTTTTGCAGTGGTTATTCCTTCATGCTTGCCATGATTTCATTACATGGCTCCCTGTTGCTTAGCTTAAATCCTCCTTGCTGCTTCCTGAATTCTAAACAGCTCAGGAGGAGCCTTTGCTGGGGTTGGGAATGAGCCCTTGCTTACTGCTCATTCCTCGTTTGTTTGTTTTTTAGCCTGTAGTCCAGCCAGAAGGAGGAATCCCCATCCCATCTACCTCTGCCTTGTGCATGGCAGCAGTGTGAGCCCCTGCTGCACGTGCCTTGGCTGTCCCTGCTTGGGGACCACGCGATGGTGCCTTGGGCTCCATCAATTCTTACGAACCAGCCGAGCGTGGGTGGAACAAAACGGTCTCCTGGGGAGTGACAGGCGGGATGGGGAGGGGAATAGGGAAAAAACAAACAACTCGCTGCAGCCTGGCCTGACCATGTGGTGACCCCCACGGGCACTTGCGGGAGGGTATGTCCTTGCACGAGCTTGCAGGCTGATTTTTGCAAATGCCAGGAGAGTGAATGACACTTCCTGGCTGCTTCCCACTGCTAAAAGAGCAGCGGTGTGTGGTTGTCCTGGACCCTTGCTTAGCTTTGGGGGTGAAACAGCTCATCTGGATGAGATGCTGCTCATTAATGTGCACAGTAAGCTGAACGCCTCGTGCCAGGTGCTGTGCCTGCTGCTGTGAGGTTTTCCAGCTGTTGTAATAGACATCTTGCTTTTCCCTCTGAAGATATCGCTAATCACGACACCTCTGATTTTGTGGAGGCTGCTGTGCAAGCCTGGTCTCTAACTGGCATCAATTGTGCTTTATTTGTGTAGGTGTTTGAAGCTGTTATCTCTTGGATAAATTATGAGAAGGAGTCTCGCTTAGAGCACATGGCGAAACTGATGGAGCATGTTCGCCTGCCCCTTTTGCCCAGAGATTACCTCGTACAGGTTAGTTGGAAAATAAATAATTCATACTTGTGCTTAAGCTGCACTTTCCCACTTTTGTGGGAAAATACCCAGGTGATGCTGTTGCAGGGCTGTGCAGTTATTTTGCTGCTGCATAGGTAAGCTGAGACTGGGGGAAACCTGCCTCGTGTGTTAATGTGGGCATGAGAAGTGCCTTGCAGCGGAGCCAGCTCTGCGGAGGTTGTTCTTGTCGAGACATTTTTTTGTCATGTATCTAAAAAAAGGGCTATAATTGTAGTAAGATTGATATATATACAGGGTGAACCCGTGCTGTCTTTTTGTTCCTCTCAGTTCTGCCTTTTCATTTAGGAAAACTTATTTTGCCCCCAAATTCCATCCTGGTGAATGCTCCTCCTTGGAGATATTTGCTCTTAAGGTTTTAGAGAGCTGCAAAAATATCCTGCAACTCTTCAGTTGCAGGATAGAAGTGAAGAGTTGCAACTCTTCACTTTCCAAGGAAAGTGAACTTGGATGCTAATGCATGCCTGTGTTTGGAAAGAGCTGAAATTAAAGTGTCTGTCCTCTCTGTATTGGTGCTTTGGGAGGGCAATTCCAGTTTTGAATGCTTTCCTCAAAACTCTGTGAGCAGCACCATCATCAAGTCCTTTGGTTTAAGCACTCTTTCCTGCGTGCATGTTCCCAGACAGTTGAAGAAGAAGCTTTAATCAAGAATAACAACACGTGCAAAGACTTCCTTATCGAGGCCATGAAGTATCACTTGCTTCCACTGGATCAGAGGCAACTGATAAAGAATCCTAGGACCAAACCGAGGACACCAGTCAGCTTGCCCAAGGTAAGCCCATTCCGTCTCCAAAAAGAGGGGGAAAAGGTACCTTTGTATCGTCTGACACAATATTTCTGGTGGTGTTTCCCATGCATTGCTTTGCACCAGCTCCTGGTTGATTTGAATTTCAGTGTTTGGAGAGAGGCGCACATGCTGTATGTCCTATATGTTGTGACCAGTCCTTGATGTTGTCCTTGTGGGAGCAGCATCGAGGAGTGGAATTACCTGGAGAATGTACCTTAAAACTGGTGATATCTGGAGATCAGTGAGTGTCATTGCTTTCTCCCTTACTGTCCCGTTAGTGTAATGAGAGGGCAGGAAGCAGCCACCAGGCATGAACGGGAAGACTGAAGTGGTTCCAATAGACTAAGCAGCTCCTGAATAAATGTTATTCCCTACATTTATTCCAGAGACAAGTGATGCTCTGGCCTCGATTAGGAAGTGGGGGAAAAAAAAGCGACAACAGCGAATAGTTCTCCATGCATAAGAGATAGAGGCAGTTGGCAAGTCTCTCAACAAACTGTCGCTGAAGTTATTAATAAGCACTTCAGAGCTGCAAGATGTCAAAACCACAGGGTATTGCTTTTCTTAAGTGTAAAGTGTGCCGTAAATCATAGAGAGGTTATTTTGCTGATGCTGTGAATAAGACCTGTGCTGTGAGGAAATATCGAGGTGTTTAGATATTAGACTTGGGAAATTTCCTGTGAGATTTGGTTTTGCAGAGCACTGCTGTGTGTGTGTCGTGCCTCCCACCTGCTGGCGCTTTACAGAAATTGGTTGAATGTAGCTTTTGGGCTGGCTTGACCCTTATTAAAGGACTATATAAGTTAAGGATGAAAATGAGCAGTGAGTCAGGTAGTTTAGAGGCTCTCAGCATCTGCTGTGCCATGACTTGCAAGTTCAGAGCCAAACGTTCTGCAGGTCTGTCCTCCCTTCCTTTGAACTGCAAAGAAAGGGAACTGGTGATGATCTTGCAGTGATCCAGTTACTGAGAAACTTTCCTCCCGTCTGCTGGTGCTGCTGAGACAGGATTATGTTCTGCTTTGAAGTCCCTTAATTCTTTAATCGTGTGGCGCTCTGCAGCTTTCCTGGGGGGGACGGTTATGTAAATAGTGGTCAGGCTGTTGGTTTAGATTCGTTTTGCTTTCTAATGTCTCATTTTTGTCTTTGTGGATCAGACATTTCTATCAGTTCAGTCTTCCACCACGTTCATACCTCTAAAGCAACTGTGATGGAGTCAAACTGTGACCTTGAGTGACACTTTTATCCTCCCAGCTAAGCACAGCCGCCTTGCGGAGACTAAAGCAGGAGATTCCCAGCTACTCTTGGAATGTGTGTAAAGCCAATTACCTTCTACCAGCTCCTTGGTCTTGTAAAGATCAGGTGGTCTGGAATAGCGTTTGCTCCTGCTGATTTGTGGTGCTATGGGGAGGGGAATGGGCTCTTCCTCTTGGTGGCTGTGATGGATAAAAGCAAACGCAGGGAGAAGAAAGTGCAAATTGAGCCGCTTCTGAGTGAAGGCATCGCAAAAGATTTGGTCTCCACCTGTGCACATGTGGCTCAGTGCTCAACTGGAGCTCAGCAGCTGTGGGCAGAGCTGGGCTGTCACCTGGGAAGCTGCTGGATGTGATGAGAGGGGAACAGCTGGCAACTGCATGAGGAGGGAGAATTGGTCTCCTTGTGGCAGGATGGGAAGGACCACGGTGCGTGTGGTCAGCTCACACTGATGAGTTCTACTGTTGATCAGCTCCCTTTAGCTCTTCCCTATCTTCCAGGAATTACTGCATTCGCATCAGTAAGGGTTCTAGCCAAAGATCTTAATGAAGCTGGGAAATTGCTCCCTTCTGCCATCTACCCCCAGCCCAGCACCCCTGGATTTCTAGTAGTTTTGGCCACTTCCCTGAGTGCCACTGTCCCTGCGGGTGGCAGTGCAGCTGTCAGGTCTTGTTTGCTAAAGCAGCATCCATTATTTTTAGCACAGTCATGGAGATAATGACTGAACAGCAGGCTGGCTATGGGAAACGTGTTGGGATCTTCTACACTTAGAGGTGTCTCTGCAGGTCATGTTGCAAAGTAATTCTGGTTTTTGCAGGGGAAAGGGGCAGGTTGTCCACATCAGAAAAGATGAGGAAGGATTGATGGGGGCAACCGTGTTTAGTGTGATTAAAATGGCAATAACTGTGTGCAGGATCTTTTTTTTTAATCTTTTCTGTAATAGATTTGTCTGAAATAACTGTCTCTGCAGAGGCTGTTGGTAGACCTTCACCATCTAAAGGTTCTGATTTCTAGGACTACTGATGGTGCCATTGACCACTGCTCTAGGCTGGGTTGTGCCACTGGGTCCTTTGCAGCTCCTCCAGCTGTGAGGGAGGTTTTCAAGCTCTCATCTTTCCTCTCCAGGTGATGATCGTGGTGGGCGGGCAAGCGCCCAAAGCCATCCGCAGCGTGGAGTGCTACGACTTTGAGGAGGAACGATGGGATCAGGTTGCTGAGCTTCCCTCCCGGAGGTGCCGAGCAGGTAATGGGATCACTTCATAGAATCACAGAATCCTTAAGGTTGGAAGGGAGCTCTAGAGGTCATCTAGTGATGTGCACACACAGGGTCACTTGTGTGACCTTCTTATGTGTCCAGCTCTTAAGGGCTGGACAGAAGGTCCTCGGTGGTTCCTTCAGCCTTTCTCTGTGTGCCTAGCTTCCAGCAGCTTGCTCTTTTGCTATTCTTTTTCTTGGGAAATGTTCATCCTTCAGGTTCAGATGGATGCCCTGCTCTCAAAAGGAGCTTGCTGCCAGCCTCTTGCCTTCCATAGCCACTGTCACCAGTTCATTAGGCTGTCTTGAGGCTGCTCTTCTGTTCCCATTCCCATGGCTCAGTAGTCCACTGGAATCTGATCATCCTGGCTATTTTCCTAGTGAAAATCAAAGGAGCTCAACTTGACCCTTTTGGCCCTGAGGGCTGATGGAGAGCAGATTTGCAAAGCCAGGGTTGTTCCTCTAGAGACAGATGGGAGTGTGGATCCCCATTTGTTGCCTTCCCCATGACTCAGAAATTTAATCTGAAGTCAGTCTGTGCCTTATACTGCTGTGTTTGTGTGAAGTGCATTCTGCCTTCCATAGGGTATGAATGCTTTATTGTTCTTGGCTCTGGTACTCCTAACCCACAGGAAATGCTCAAGACTGCATTCTGCTCTCCCCTTCTGTCTTGCATGCGCTGAGCAGCAGCCGATGACGCTTGTTTTTCAAGCAACCGCTCAATTCGCAGGTTTCCCAGCTTAAAAACCATCTTAAAAATCTCCCTCTCTTTTACTAGGCGTGGTGTTTATGGCTGGCAACGTTTATGCCGTCGGGGGCTTTAACGGCTCCCTGAGAGTGCGCACGGTGGACGTGTATGACGGCGTGAAGGACCAGTGGACGTCCATCGCCAGCATGCAGGAGAGACGCAGCACGCTGGGCGCCGCCGTGCTCAACGACCTCCTCTACGCCGTGGGTGGATTTGATGGCAGCACTGGTAGGTGGCCGGATGGAAAAACTACAAAGAATGTTTCAGAGCCAGCTGCAAAGATTGCAGAGCTTTGCTCAAGGGCCATTAGTGAGACTCCAGCTCCCTTCAGCTATGATCCTTCTAGTGAATGAGCCCCAGATTGGATTTTTGTGTGTGCTGTAACTAGCCACATGCACATTCGTGACTCTGTGCTTATTTATTTTAGTTCTTTCAGTCTTGTCCTAGAGACAGAGAGGCGTATTCAGGGCTAAAAAGAGCAGTTTCCTCATTTTTCCTTGGGTTTCTTGCATGGCAGCTGGAATTGAATGCAAACAGGGCACCTTATGGGGAGCGTGTTTGGAGCCCTGAGCTTCCTATTTCAGCTGGTGATGGGTAGAGTACCAGGGTGCCCAGATTATCTTTTTAAATGTGTACATGGAGTCTAGGTTGTTCCCAGCACATCGATGGGGCAGCCATCCTGGGACAGGGACTTTGTGGTCCCTGCTGTCCTGCTGCTGAAGTGGTGGGGTTGGTGGCCTGGGTCCTGCCTGGGTGGGAAGGAAAGGCAATTCCTGTGGTACAGGAATGTGGTGGGAATTACGGGCTTGGGAGGAGGTGGAAGGCAGATGAAAAGTGCAACACCAATCTTTTTCTCTTCTCTTTTTTTTTAATTAGAAAACCTGTGTATCCCCTTTTTAACTAGGTCTGGCATCAGTTGAGGCCTATAGCTATAAAACCAATGAGTGGTTTTTTGTGGCTCCCATGAACACAAGAAGAAGCAGTGTTGGAGTTGGAGTTGTAGAGGGTAAGAAAATCAACAGTTGTTTCCATCTAGCAAATGATCCTGATCCAAGCAGAAGCCTCAGCAGCTAAGTGCAATAGAGAGGAATGGCAGGAACTTTTCCTTAAACTGCCTTTTGTTGGCAAAGATTTCTTTGTGGCTTAGTGGCTGTGGCTTTTTCCATTCTCCTCTGTATCTTCATGAAAGAGTCTGTGCGTGGCTCTCAAGAGCCTCCAGCCTATTCTGCACCTACCGGGCTCTCCTGAATTCCAGTAAGGGTTTGCAGGTTTGGTTGCATCCTAATTCTTTTTGGACTTCATCTAATTCTTCACTTGAATGACAAAAAAAAAAAATTAAATATGTACCTGTGAGATGCATTTCTGTGCTTTCCTACAGGAGACATGAAAAAATCTTTTTTTCCGTAGGTTTGCTTGAAAGAGCAAATGAATATTTCACCTTTTGGAGTTTGATTGGAAAAAAAAATATATATAATGGATATGAAGAGCTGATAGCGTCGGTATAGGGAACAAGCTGCAGGCTATAGTTAATCCATAGCCTGTAGTTAATCCATAGTGCTTGTCTGCCTGCAGAAAGTCTGTGGGTACTGAAAGCATCTGGTGATGGATGGAGGCCAGGGAGCTTTCCCTTGCCTCGCTTTGTTTGGTGCTCTTGCTTCGGTTCCTTGCATAGTACCAGGCAGATTGAAGCAGCAGCAGGAGGAAGTGTTTGAAATATTCATACAGATAAGAAAGTGTGGATCAAATTGCCTGTGCCTTTACAGAAGTGCAAAAAAGCAAAACAAACAGAAAAACACTCTAAAATCTTATCCTCAAGCATGCGTAAGGGCTAATGAGGAGCCAGGTAGTGTGGGAGCCACAAGTGTGGATCTGGTCCCTGCAAACCTCCCTGTGTCAGTTGGCAATTGGGCCTCCAGGGAGGGCAGTGAGCAGAGATGTGCTGGGATGAGAAGGGAGTTCAGGAGCTGGAGCACTGTGTGGGGATGCGTCTCATGGAAGACAAGAGCAGGCCTGTTCTGGAGTCATAAAAACAGCAGGGAAACAGGAGGATGGAGAAGTGCAGGACTGTAGGTGGAAGCTGCTGTTGAAAGTATTGTGCAATGAAGAATCAGTGTGTGGACAGGTTCTGCTAGCACAGATCGAGAATTGGTCCTGTTTTATACACAATGGTGGAGTAGAATTTTTCTACATGTTTATTGAACTCTATTTTAGGGTTTTTTTTTTTTTTTGTAGGGCCTAGGGAACATGATCTCAAACAAGAGTGCTAGGAACTCTAGAAGAGGACCACCCCAACTCCCTTTGCCCAGAGAGCTCATAGTCCAAGTGCAAAAAGGAGCTGATGCACGAATAATACAGGGCTGGTCAAGTAGGTTAACAACAGGTTAGTTGGACTGTAATATTGGTCAATCTGTGAAGGGTGATGGTGGAGCAGCATCAACCTTAATCACTTAACCTGCGGTGCAGGTTGGTGACATCCAGTCACACTCCTGTGGTCTCATTGGTAGGTGGTGTCCAACTTCCATTCAGCTGAGGTAGGTAGGTCATCTTGATAGCTCCCTTGATAGCTTCCACGCAGTGATCACTCGGTGCAAGGGAACTTCGTTTTAATGTGACCCAGACTCTGCAGAACTGGGCCTAGGTTTGCAGGCAGGTGTTACAATAACATAGGAGGTTGTGGCCTATTTATTGCTTGTGTGATCTTGCACCAATGTCAGCCTTCGACAGCTGACATTGGTGAGCGTGAGGACACACTAGATCGCACGCTGTTTTTTCTCTCTTGTCCAAGGTCAGCGAGTGATGGGGAAATCCTCAGGGATTTTGGGTCCTCACTAAGCATTTGGGTCATGATGTTTCCTTGGCTTGGCTGGCAGCGTAACTGCTTAAAAAGAACAGGCTTGTTTGCGAATCTGCCTCAGTTGCTGCTGGTGGGAGTCTCCCCAGATGGCCCATCAGGTCTCCCAGGGCCACCCTGAGCTGGGATGTCTCCTCATATGGGACTTCCTGGTGCGACGGTAACGTAGATCCCTTGTGAAGGTGATGGCATCTCTTGCAGGCAAGCTGTATGCCGTGGGGGGCTATGACGGAGCATCCCGCCAGTGCCTCAGCACCGTGGAGCAGTACAACCCGGCCACGAACGAGTGGAGCTACGTGGCCGACATGAGCACGCGGCGCAGCGGCGCAGGTATCGCCCCGACGGGTGGTCAGGGCTTCTGTAGTTCAAAGCACAGCGCTGTTGGATGACTTGCAGATCGTGTTGAAGTCGCAGTTCATCTCTGCTTGCCCCTGCTGAGCCAGTTTCTCCCTAAAAGCTCTTAGTTGCTCTATTAACAATCATCTTATCTTGAGATGAAGGAGAGCAGATGAATATGGGTCCTGTTGCTTAACATGTGGTGAGGATCCTTCACGTGCCAGACTGGCTGCTGTAAAACTGCAGTGTCGCACACTCTTGCTTTTGAGTTGAAGAAGCTCTTCACGCCTGCTTGATGCTTAAAGCTGTCCCAGTGCAGCAATGTGGGAAAAACAAATGAGGATCTTGGTGTCAGTAATGCATGAAAACACAGCAAGAAAGTCCATGTCTGCGGTGACACTAGTTTTACTGATGTTTTTTCTTGCTTTCAACCACTGCTGTGGTGCGTGCAAGCCAGCGCGCTTGCAAGAGCTGTAGTGTGAGCGTCCTTGGCTGTCTGCAAAGCAGCCTGGCAGTCTTCCCTTCTGCAGGTGTCCTCCGAGCTCACCAGGCTCACACGTGGCACGTTGCCACCCAGCAGCCTGCGGGGAGGGCTCGTGAGGTCCTGCAGCAGCAGATGCCATCCAGCCATGCATCCCGCAGCACAGGGATGTGTCCTGCAGCACAGGGATGCCGGCGCTTGGCGCAGGGGAGAGCGCACTCAGACAGCTCGCTCATCTGCATCCCAATGCTGACATCTAGCGAGCTTTCCAAGGGCTGCATGGGCAGGATGTCACCCCTCCTTTCTGCCAAACCTGCCGTGGTCACCGGGCCAGAGGACCTGGAGGCATCCAGGTTTTCGGAACGCCTTGGAGGGTCCCAGACAAGGGTATTAGGAGTCCCTTTCCCTGTGCACTGGGCTCACGCTGCGCTCTCCCGCAGGCGTCGGTGTTCTCAGCGGGCTGCTCTATGCCACCGGCGGGCACGACGGCCCCCTCGTGCGCAAGAGCGTGGAAGTCTACGATCCAGGGACAAACACCTGGAAGCAAGTGGCAGACATGAACATGTGTAGGAGAAACGCAGGTAACCGCCGCGTGCACTTTTGTGTGGCTTGGTGGTTCTTGGGTCGTCTTTTTTTTAATGGTGCTGAATGCAAGTATTTAGTAAGGACGTGATAAGCAGGTGGATATTAATCTCTGTGCAATGAGTGTGAATGTGGCAGGCAAATGAGTCATGGGGGAGAAGAGATGGAGAGTAGGGTGGCCTGGATCTGACCATCTATGCTCTTCTTTGGAGGTGTGTGTGCCGTGAATGGGCTCCTCTACGTGGTTGGAGGAGATGATGGCTCCTGTAACTTGGCCTCTGTGGAGTACTACAACCCCATCACCGACAAGTGGACGTTGTTACCAACCAGCATGAGCACTGGGAGAAGTTACGCAGGTAAATACAGGGTGTGAGCGCTGGTGGCAGAGCACATGGCAGTCCAGCTCCCTAACAAATGCCCCACAGCCATGATCGTGTCAGGCATTTCTCATGAACCTGCAGGCTGTGCCTCCTGGTGCTTTGGTTTTACATTTTAATGTGTTTAATGTAGCTTTCAGTAGGGGAACCCTAGACAGAAAGAGCAAAGACATCCTGCTGTCTCCTAACCCGTTGCTAGTCCTTGGCCTTGCAATATGTTTTTAGCTGCGTTGAAAGCCAGGAGCTGCTCTGACCTTAACCGTGTGTCTGTCTGTCTGTTCCCGTGACAGGTGTGGCTGTGATTCACAAACCCTTGTGACACCCAGCCGAGGTGGTGCGAGGAGCAGAAGTCAAGTGGATCCAGCCAGGTGGCATTGGGAAGGTGACCCACCTACGTCTTGACCCATCTCATCGCTGTCAAACTCTTTGCGTGACAAGTGACACGTTACAAATGTCATCTGCTTGGCAGTGTCCCTTGTTGTGCAGCAAGGGGCAGATCCCTCTGGGGATGCAGCCCATGCTGGGCACGAGGTGTTGCTTGTTGTCTGTGGTGCCATCGACTGTTCCTCTCCACGGGTAGGTGGGGTGAACGCTGTACTTGGACTGTGGGCACTGAATTTCTCATGTGGAACAAAACTGCTGCATTTGGACATGTGAGTAAAAATGGACACTTTGGGATTTCTTCACTACTGATGCTCCGTATGCATTATTGGTTGAACTTGCTCATTGTGCCTGAAGGGTGAACGTTACTACTGACAGTGGAAACTTGGAAGTACCACGAGCAGAAACGGGCTGGAGCAGGGTGCTCGGACTGTGCGGTGTCACCATTGTCACGCATTTGTCTTTGCCACTGGACTACTCTGTGTGTTCCCGGGACGCTCGTGGTGCGGTGGGAGATGAATACGGTGTCATCTCTGTCACCAGTGCCATTCCCTGCACGGATGGGAGCTGCTGGGCAGTGCCTTTTCCGGGCCGGGGTCTCGGCACCTCAGCCGCGCCGCGACCTCAGGGAACTCTGCTGCTCCGGGAGGCCACTGCTCCCATCAAACAGCTACTGCTCAAATAGGAACTATTCCCTATTCCTTCTCTGTGTGCTTCTTCATGCTGTGCCGAAAGCCTCCGTTCTAGCTCTGTCCAGCATTTCAGTGCCATGTCATAAGAGATCGTTCGGCTATCGAAAGAAATACGTGATGTTGCCATTGGTGTAGACACGGTACAACAAGAACCCTAGGTCACCCAAGTAGGGTTAATAACAGAGATAAAATACCTCCAGTGTCTTAATGTTTCCCGAGTATGGAGATCTTGCTAATCAGTGTCATTGTAATTATTTAAATTTTTTCTGTGCTGATTGCACTCTTCCATCAGGATGAAGAATTGGTAAGATAAAACACAAGGAAACAGCTAAATGAGATCCAGCTGTGGAGCAGCTGTCTTTCTTACATCCCAGACCCTTAAAGCTTTCTGTGTAAATGGGTGTTTGACTTATTTGGGGGGGACACCTGTACTCCTGCGAGCCATGGCACACTTCTCCAGGCAGGGGTAGACTGCCAAAGACTCTCCAGCTAAAGGGGACCCATGAAGAAAGCTCTTTCATCTCCCCTTTTCAGTTTTTCAGCTCACTTTATGCATTTTATTGTCTTCTTAACGCGAGTTAGTTTCCCTGCTCTGTCTCGTTTCTGCCCCTGTGGATGAAGGGTTGTCTGTGGTGGGCACCAGGACGGTGTCTGTGCATGGTGCTGCTGACTGTTGCACTTACCGCTGTTCTTCTGCCGTTTTAAATCTCCACAGACTCCTCTTAAAAGAGCTGCTTGTGACCTTCTGTGGTGGAAAAAAGAAATACTTAAAAAAAAATTGTTTTTGGAGAGACTTCTGGCTAAATCACCTTTTATAGGCAGCTTTTGCAGCGGAGGCAGGTGACTTATTTACAGAAGTTGATTTTTCCCATTGGAGCTGGCTCAGACCTTTCAGCCCGGGTACCTGGTCACTGTGAGGGGACCAAGGGTCGCTCCTCTGCTCCGCCTTGCCCAGGACAGGCCTGGCCATCCTGGGGAGTTTACAGTCCTGCTCGTTCCTCTGGGATGCTCTTATTTCCAGGAGCAAAGGAAGCTGCAAGAATGGCAGTGGTGGTCTTGATATCTCCCCTTCCGTTGTATGACAGGTGAGAGATCTCAGACAAAAAGGTGTCATTTCTGCAATACCCTTGAAGCGTCTTGCTTTGGGTTTTCTGGTCTACACGGAAACATACCGAATCAGGTGTAACATTTGCTGCTGGTGGTGGACTTTTTTATTGTAAAAGCTAATGATGGCGGTAGGAGCGTGTCCACCAACTAAACCTGAGTCCAGAGGTGCATCTTTAGGTGCCAGATGATGCCTTGGTCCATATGGGTGCATGAATTCAGCGTCTCCAGGGCTGGTCCACAGGCGTTTCCCTTTTCCTATGGTCCTTGCAGATATAGGATGAAATGGGATGGGCCAAGCTTAAGTCTCCCTCCTTGGCCCTTCATCAGGTTGGGTATGTGCCTACAGCTAGGTAAAAGCTGGGAACAGTTGCCAGCTAAGATGCTCTGCCATAGCAGGGAGTTCTGCTGGGGCTAAGGCAAAGATTGGTATGAGACTAATAGTTTCTGTGAGAAACTATTTTTTGGGAGAAAAGCAAACAGTGCTACAGAGAGGCAAACTGCAAGTTTGCAGTTTATTGTCCTGAAGGGTGAGTATGCCTGAAAGTTGGTTTATTTTTTTTCCACTGCTATATCTGCTTTTCTAACAGGAATACCCATCCCTCTCTAAACCTTCGTCGCTTTGAAGGAAATCACGTTTTTGGGTGGTTTTCTGCTTTTGTAAAATGGCATTTTGCACAGCCATGGGCTTGCTGGACAGGGCCAGGGCTGCCCTGGCTCGCGGAGCTGCTCCGGCTGCCGCTGCTTCCCCCGCTCCCGTGTCCCCCCGTCCCCTTGCAGTGTTATGCAAGTCAAGTGACCTCGTTTTCCAGCTATGCAATATGAACAACAGTAACGTATGACAAACCAGCTGTATTTCCCCCCCTTCTCAAATGGCTTTTCCGATTCGTGTGTCCTTGGTGTGTGGTTTCCTGTTTCTGTTACTGATTCGGAGCCCCTGAGCCAGATCCTTTCAAGATTGCCTTTTTCTAGGACTGAAAACATAGCGCTAGTGCTAACAGATTTTACTGTAAATATTTTTATAAGACAATTGAAAATAACTTTTTGGGATTGCTTTTTATTGTTGTCAATGACACTTATGTTAAAATCTTGATCTAATTCTTACACTCCACTGCAGTTCTTGCTGGCCGTGCTGTAGGTGTGAATAACTCGTATGTTTTCTGTGCAAGAAATTAAATATTCTAACTAAGGTCTGGGATAGCTCTTGTGTTGATCCTAACATATTCTAGGCGGGACAGCAGTGGGCTGAACCTTGGGAAATAGGTTGAAATCCATTGCCTCAGTCACCAGTACATGCGTTAGTAGATATTCTGAAATAATTGAGAAATTATTTTTCTCCAATTAATTTTCTGTGCTGCTCGTTTGCTTTGCGTTTCGCTTGGCGAACAAGCTTTCTGGGCGAGCTGGCGCCTGCAAGACCAGGCGCCCGTACAGAACCCCTCAAATTGCCCCGGATCACCCAGGTCTCGTGGGAGGTTTGGTCAAAGCTTTACAATCCCTGGGGCTCGTTCCTCCCGGTGCCTATTGTGAATATTGAAGTTTGCACCGGAGGGGAGCACGTGCACCGCAGGATGCGTTTGCATTGAACAGCGTGTTGTTAGAACCACTTGGAATCAAGTCCATCTTTCCCATTTGCGCCTAATAGATAAATTGTGAGTGATTAAAACCAATTTTCTTTTCATTGCGTTTAAATACTTTTTCTGTCTGGCTGTGCAGCACGCTGTAATTACCATAAATCCACTTGCCAGCATTTGCATGACAGCACCACGAAAGCCTGAGACTGTCTTCGTGTCTGGAGACCCAAATCCTTAATATCAAGTAATGTGGGAAGCCCGTTCATCAAACTGACATGATGGTTCAGCGGAGAAATGCACCTTCTTCTTAACCTTTGGGATTCATTGCTAATAAAATTTAGGACAGGTGCCCCCTTGGCTTAACACCATGCCTGTAAATCGTATTCACATAAAGCTATGTGATTGCTCAAAGCTGGTGGTTGGGAGTATGTTAGACATTATATCCTGGAAGTGAATGATTTCACTCTTCTTTCTTTTTTTTCCCCCTCTCTTCTTGTCTTTATTCATGGAATTACTAAATTATTTTCCTCTATGGTGACAAGAAATAAGTATTGAGAATGTTAATTTGTATATTTTATGTATAAAGAAACACTTTACGAATAATGGAAGATTGTGAAACAATTTACCTGAATGTGAAATTATTTGTTTTCATAAAACAGACTTTGATATAATAGCTGACAGCATAACGTAATGATTTGGTTGACTGTTTAAGCCCAGGTTTTGATTATTTTAATTTATTTTGCATGAGCATGAAGGATCAAGGCCGTTGCAAAGTAATTCTCTTGACAGCTGTGTTGTCCATTGCGACAGATTTTTAACTCAAGGAGCAGTGTTCACTGGCATAGTTAATATTATAACAGAGAAATCACATTGTAGTTCCCAGGACTTTTAATTTGAATAAAAATTGGACTAATGAAATTCTCCTGAGTCTGTTTTGGGTTTCTTCAGCTTCTGGTGGTGACATTTGCAAGAGCCAGCATGGGATTATTTATCTTCTGTAAGTGCTCGTAGTGACCTTCAGCACCCGATTTGCCACACAGGACCTGGGATTTCCCTGCCGGACGAGCATCCGTATGCAGTGGGTGGCACCGTGGAGCTGGGTGACTTGGCAAATATTCCTCACTTAATTTCAGATTTCTTGCTCTTTTTGCACCCTGCCCTCCGATCCTTTGGGATAGTCCATGCCCCAGCTGTATCCTCCGTGGCAGTAGTTCCCTTCTCTTGCCTGTGTACCCCACTGGTGCAGGGCTGCTCCGGGAGCCTAGGGGGATTTTCCAGACTTTTCTCTATTGGAGAAGAGCTCAGCCTGGGAAACTGCAAATCCAAAGAGAACAAAATCTGCCTGGTGTTTCCGAAAAAAGGCAGCACATGGGACCCCTGCAGAGGTGCTCCTGGAGCCTCCGCTGGCTCCTCAGTGACGAGGGATGTGGCATTACACAGTGCTACACCACACCATAAGCCAGCCCCAACATCACGTAGCGACCTAGTGATGCAAACTATGCCAAAGAAATGTGCTGAACATCAGGTGAGATGTATTTGGCACTGCCGTGTGCCACAGTTTGCAGACACGAGCGCTGCCTTGTGCTCCCTGTGCTGGGCACGGGCATCCTTGGGCATCCGTGCCTGGTTCTGCCGAGCACCTCCCTGCACCACCGGCGTGCTTCGGAGTGGTGACCCCTTGACCAAAACACCCCTTGGCCACCACGTTGTCACATGAGATGTCACCCGTGAAGGTCACTCTGCAGCTCTTGTCCCCCTTAGGCCAAGAGCTGGGGCTGGAGGCCAAGTCCCAGCCTGTGTCCAGCCCAGGGGATGCAGCAGATGCCAAGAGGGCAAACAACTTCGGGTACTCTATATTTTAAAGAAGTGTCATCTTCTTTCTTAGAATACGTCTCAAGACTTTGGCCTGTTTATAACTGCGTATTTTCTCTTTCAATAGCTGTATTTCAATGATGAACCACCTCTCTGGAAAGAATATGGAGCTACTTAGAACAGCTCGGGTTGTTTAATATATGAAAAAAAAATCAAGCAGTCATTTGAATAGTCTTATTTAAATCCAGCTCTTATTTAGATATAGACAGACACAAATTACAAGTGCAAATGACCGTGTCATCCCTGGGAGATGAATCATCCATCATTTTGGAGAGGTATGTGAACACTGAGGATAGGGACTATTGATAACTTATTTACTAAAAAGACTATAGCTCTAACGAGGCCTTATGGTTAAGGGGAGTGAGCAGCAACTGTGGTTGCTTTGATTGGGAGCTACCTTAAAAGCAGCTGTGCAAAACCCATGAAAATGCATTGCTTAATCAGGGACACCTGCTTGATACTTCAGCTCTTAATTATGATCAATTGGTTCAAGCTGTGGGTGTCAACCATTTCACTTGCTTGCATCCCTTAGCCCTGTTCTGTCACTGTTTTTCCAGGGAGAATTTAATCATTTCTCTGTCCTTCCTCCTGCTTTTCCTTGGTGCCTTCAAGATGGCCTTGGACCCTGTATGGATGCTGCTGTGTGCAGCAAGGGCTCTGTGCTTGAGGAGACTCCAGGGTGCTTGACCCAAGAGTATGAAGAAGCAGTGAGTGCAACAGGGAGGGAAGGTCTGGGTCTGGGGCTGTGTGGCCTTTGAGCAAGCACAGAAATGGTGATTTGTCCTTTGGACTGGTGCTTTATTTTGAAAGAAGTAAAGGTCCCTCTTGGGTCCCTCTCTTAAACATCCTTAGAAGGAGATGATGGGTTAAGGATGGAAAATTACAGGTTTTCTCTCTGCCAGAGCTGCCTTGGAGCTGGAGTTTGCTGGAGCACCTATTTTACATTTAAGTGGTTCTAGTATTTCTCATATCTTGTTTGTCACAGCAGTGCTATCATTGTAGCTATGGTCTCAGCATTCATTTCTCTCATGCACCTGTTGTTAAATGATAATGAACCCAAATCACCCAACTCTATGTTTCCAGTGTGTTTAATGATTATTAATAAGTGAATATGTCTGATGATAACTATTACTTTTGTAAACTGCCCTTTCAGGGCAAAAAGGGGAACAGGAAATCCCAACAATGTGCAATAGAAAATAAAATGGAAAAATAGTATAGACTATTTAGTAATAGTCTAGTAGTAATAGACTATTTAGTATAGACTATTTAGTAATAGGCCAGAGAAGTAGAAAAAAGGGTTCCCTTCTGTCGCAGCTGGTGTCTATCTAGAGATAATTTGGATTTTGCCAGTTGTGTGCCTGGAGATATTAGATACAACCAGACTGATTCCCCTTGAGCTTCTGCCCAGGATCTCATTGAAATCCTTAGTTAAGTCTGCAGTTCCTCACGTATACGGCAAATTTGAGTCAATGCTGAGGAAACGTGTGTTTTCTAGCGCTTTGTCAGGGTGCGATGAATGCAGCAAAAGCCTGGCAGTCAGGGGCATCCGATGGGGCCCGGAGGTTTCCGCCTTGGGCTGTGCCATGCGGATTGCCCGACTCTGGGGGTCAGCACAGCCAAAGAAACGAGCGCGAGCCCGGCTGGCAGAAGCTGTTTGCAGTGCACTGGGTCCCGTGTTCTACAGCATTTGAAGGCATTCGGGTATGTTCTCCCTCTTGTTCAGAGAAGCTATGCAATGCGTGTGCTATGTTTTGCATCTATATTGGGATCAAAAGTACTGGAATGCAGCCTTTTCTACTCTGTTTTCAAGCCTTATGGTACGTGGGTCCGTCATTTGGTGACGGATGCTCTGCTCTGCTTGTGGTTTTACTATTTATGGCTGGGATTGTAAGTGGAGCCTTATTTTGGGCTTCTTATCGCCTTCTTGAAGCTCCTCTTCTGTGAAAGCTAAGGTGATTTACATAGGCAAGTCAAAGTTAAAAATCAAAGAATAAGTTGCTCTATTATCTGATCACTTTTAAATATCCTCTAAATTGCTCAATGTGCTCAGCTTTCAATGAGATTTTGACAGATTAACAGCTGACAATTCATCTCGGAGCCCTGGTAAATCTAGCTTTAATTAACTGACATTTTAATGGTCCCTACGTGGTCACCAGCTTCAATATAATTTAATTTAACTCAATTTGCTGGGCATGATTCTGCACGTATGAAATCCGGAGCCAAACCCGTGTTTGTATCCCTGCTGCAGGCATTGCCAGGAACAGAGGCTGCTGTTGGTTACTCGCAAGAGTCATTAAGAGCAGGTAAAATATAACAAATATCTGCTGAATTCCACTTTACATCTTATGTCAAACCTAGGCTTCAAATTTCAGGCAGACCAGAAGAAATAATTCTACCTGCTACTTGAATGCAGGCTACATTTGTCCAGAGAAGTGCAGGGCATAAGTGCACAAGCCATACCAATGCTCACAGCTAAGTGCTAAAGACTCTATTAAAGAGACGCAAATACATTTGTACCTGTATTAATTTAATTTCTCCCTTGTAGCTATTAATTCAGCCCATCAGAGGAGCGTTTCTGCAGTTTACTTGCTTGCAGGTTAGCTCTGTTGCTTCTCATCTGCAGGTCGGATTGCACCAGTCTCTACGGCAAAAATGTGGATTTGCTAAGAAGCTGAAATGCCGTATTTATGATCTAAAATGTATTTTAGTGATGCAGGGTGTGTGTGTGTATGGGGGGAAGCACTGTGCTTGTTATCTTAGCAGTTCCAGCCATTGTGTTGCGAGCTGGAATAGCCTCAGATGTTTCAGTAAGCAGCATTTTGGTTCCCTGTAATGGTAGGAAGGAACCACGTTACTAAAATTAAATAATTACATCACGTTAACTTCTTCTTCAATATTACCTCCGCACAAGAAGAGTTTAAATGAAAAATTGACTTCTTGCTCCTGTTGGGTGTAATGCTGCTTCGACAAGCTCTTACACACAGCGTGTGAAACCTTGCCAATATTCGGAATATTGCTAAATGTTGCCTTGAACCATGCAGAGTTTTAATGCACAGGATGAAATTAATGAATCTGATGATAATGAAGGTATAACTGAATGAGATGCGTGCTATGCCTGGAGGCTAATCATCAAGTAATTCGAGTGAGGCTGCAATTATGAGATTAAGAGTTGTCTGATAACATTGTTTACCTTTATATAAAACAAAATCCAACACTTAATAAAGCAGCAGCAAATTAAGTTAGAGGAAATTAAAATAGAAAGAGTTTGTTTTGTCTCCCTTCCCTTTTTTTTTTTTTTTTTTTTTTTTTTTGCAAAACAGGTAGATTGTTGGTTGTATTTGGAAAGCCTGGTGTTGCTGCAAACTGAATGAATGAGCTGGGGGAAGGCAAGGGAGTCTCCCCAGTCTGGTG